GGAAGAAACTAGAAGTGTACCAATAGCAGAGAAAAGTCCTGTTCATTTGCAGAAATAAATGGAAGACTTTAATACTTTTCAAGAGAAAATCTAATAATATTAGCCTTTTTGTCTCAACAGAAGTCAGAATTGATTTTTAGTGTCCAAACATACATATTTTAAAGAAATGGGTGATTTTTAAACCTCCTGTCTGTGGACAGAGGAGTTGCAGTAAAGAGTCAGACTTGACTGAACACGCAAATAGAACATAAGCATCAACTACTTAGAAAGATTTTCAGGAAGAATGGCATTAGCCCAGTTAAGCTAGACAAGAATAGAGAATGTTATAGTTTCATTTATCTGTTGTGCCAGCAAACATTTACCAAGCCCCTTACTGTGTGCCACGATTCCCACTTTATGGGAGCGGCCTCTGGGGCTTAAAAGGTAAAGGAAATAATAGACCCAGGATTTGCACCAGGTTTTCTAGCATTGAATCCAGTGTTTGTCCATCAACTCACAGCTATTTGTGTGCGGTATAATGAGAGGTTCATGTGTTATATTCTCAACGTCTCCAGAACTGGGGCATGCTGTATTTGTCTCCGGGTCCCCAGTGCCTCTTCCAGGGCTCCATCTTGGTATGCAGTCAGGGATTGTGTGATGAATGGGCTCATGAATGACTGAATGAAAAGACAAGCACTGTCTTTTATACTCTTTCAAAAGCTTTTTTTTTTAACCCAGCTGAGAGGTTTCTCTCCATGGAAGGTATATTTTCTCCAAAATAAACCTGAAGTGGATCAAAAGGCTTTTTATTTTTTTGATTCCTACTCTTCCCACAAAGTGAAAAGAAGTTGCTTTGTTACTTAAAATATCTGCACCAGATCGTGCAGTGCCGTCTCTTAGCACAAGTGCTTATTATCGTGGCTAATTTGGTCACATGTGTTTGAAGGAGAACAATGCCTCAGAAATTTTTAAAAGCAAAACAGCAATCTGAAGCGTTTGTTGTAATGAGATGTAAATTGCCAGCATCGTAGTGGAGCCGACTAAAATTTGCAGTGAAGTGTTTTTCTCCCCCTTTTAAATTAAAAGCACTAGAGGCCCTCCCTCCGTTCTGGGAAGAAACCACATGCTTTTTGTTCCTTTTCTTTCTGAGTCTGTACTACTAAACATGCTGCATTATTGACTGATTCATCCCTTCATTCACCTGCCATTTTCTGAGCCTGGGTCTGGGCCTCCGGGGTGCGCCTGCCTGGCTCTCTAGTGGCTGTTGGCACTCCCCGTTTTGCAGGCAGGGAAGCTGAGGCACAGAGAGGTGAAGGAAGCAGGTCTCAGGAGTCACACCTGGGTCTCCTGAGGAACCGCTTCCAGGACGAGCCTTTCGCTGGTCTGTCCTCCCCGCTGAGATACCAAGTCCTTCTGTGTACAGTGCCAGAGGAGGCAGTGGCAGAGAGCAGTGCTAATCCCTGGCAGCCACCAGGTATTAAATGTGCTGATCGGGGATGTTAGGAAATAGAGTTCCTTGAGAGCTTGGGAGCCGGAAGATCCCATTACAATAGGCTCAGCATTCAACGAAACTCTGTGGGTCCCTGAGCAAACTGGCAGAGGGGAGCGTAGTGTTGGGTCTGTGTGCCATGAGAGCCTGAACACCTGCTCTGGGCCAGGCTTGTGCCAAGGACTTGGGGCAAAAGAGGACCAGCAGGGCCCTGGTTCCCAGGGATTAGCAGTGGCTAACTTGAGCACCCAAATATGACCCCCGCGTGGGGCAGGAGCAGGGAGGTGGGGGTGGTGAGCCACCATTTACTGAGCACCCAGTCTGCGTGAATCATTACATATGTGAGGTTAACTCCTTTACGCTGCAGCCTGGCTGAGTCACTGTTATCATTCCTCCTTTCAGGATGATGCAACAAGAGTCAGAAAGGTTAAGTCATTATTGATGTGTAAAATTACCTGTTGACGATTGAACTGGAACCAGGCACTGTGCTGAGCCCTGATCTCTGATATAAAAAGACACAGTCTCTGTCTGCCCTCAGGCCTCACAGTCTAGTGGGGGTGGCAGAGAGAGAACTAGATGAGTGCAGCTAACTATTACCAGGGGAGGAGGGAGTCCCAAGGACCTGGCTAGGCAGGCCACGAGGGAGCAGAGTCTGCCTTAGAAGAGAGGACCAGTGAGGGTGGAGCCAGAGAGGTGACCCTCTGCTCTCAGCTCCTGCTCTTTATGTGTCCCTGTGTAGCCATCTGAACTGTCCCTTCCCCTGGCTAGATGTTTCCAGTTTCCGTTTTTCAGCCCTAACTTCTACTTCCTGGGCTGCAAAAAGGTTACAGGTATTTGAGAACAAATACCTGTAAACATCCCATCCAATCCACCCCAGGCACCTCCACTCAGCAGCAGGGCTTTATTTCAGAATCTCTGCTTCAGCCCATTTAAGTCTCTTGCCCACAACTCTTTCTCCTCTCATGTTATGAAGAATTTACTGAGAGCCTGCACCATGCCAGGCATTGCCCTAGGTGCCAAGATTACAAAGAGAGTAAAACTTTACCCTTGAAGAGCTTCACAGTTTGATGTGGACAGCAGACAGATTGGTAGATGATTCCAAATATGATTTGCTGGAAGTATTTACGATTTAGAGACCCCCTACCTGGTAGTGATCAGAGCAAGGCCTCACAAAGGAGACATCTAAGCTCTGTTTTGCAGTCTGACCAGAGACTTGACAGGCAGATGAGGCATTCAGGGCCAAAACAGTAGCACATCCAAAGGCTCAGACGCTTGGGACAACACAGCACCTGGGAGCCAACATCTGGGGAGAGCAGGAATTGAGCACCGGAGATCAGGAAGGAGCTGGTTCTATTCAGGGTCTTAAGGAGGCTATGGTACACAGCTTAATTTTGAGGGTAGTGGGAGCCTAAGCTGCGAAAGATATGGTTGTGAGTAGATTTCTTTGGCAGCTGTAGTGGAGATAAATGGACGAGAACTAGACTGAAGTCAGAGCTGAGTTGGGTTCGTTCTCTTGTCCACCATCTTCCTCTCATAGAAGGAGAACCTAAGATGACCTGTGCTCCATTGGCTGCGTGGCCCCATTCCTTTGTCTTGCTGCTGAATGTCAGAGCAGGAAGAGACCTCAGGTGCCAACTGAGCCATGCCCTTTGGGGAAAGCCAAAGTAATTGCTTCCTCCCTGACCTAAGAAAAGATCAAATGCTCCACTTGAGTTTTCTTATATCTCAGAAATACAACCAAGATCTCATACAAAGAGAGGAGAAACTATGGCATCTGCTTCTGAAACTTTAGAGTTATTCATTCATTCTTGTCATTCTTTTGTTCATTTAGCAAACAGAGAACATCTTCTCGTGCCAGGGGCTATGGATAAAGATGAGAAAGCCTTAGGCCCAGCTCTGGAGTAGGTCACACAGAATTGGGAGATGCTCCTAGAATGGTGACGATGCTATCAGTCCCTCACTCTGACGGCTTGTGCATCCATAGTTCACTCGCCTGTGGTCACACAATTAAAATATAGCCAAACTAGGAGTAAGACCTAAACTCGGTCTCCCAAGATGAGCCCTGCTTTTCAGTTGGCTCTGTGCCGATCCCCAGTCTCCCCGCATTCAGCTCTGTGCCTTCATACTTCGTTGACTTCTCAGGTTCCACTAGTGGTAAAGGACTTGCCTGCCAATGCAGGAGACTAGAGACGTGGGTTTGATCCCTGGGTCAGGAAGATCCCCTGGAGAGGCCGTGGCAACCCACTCCAGTATTCTCGCCGGAAGAGTCCCATGGACAGAGGAGTCTGGTGGACTGTCGGATCCGTAGGGTCGCACAGAGTCAGACACGACTGAAGTGACAGCACGCACCCATGCATCGAGCACACACATATGCACCTCCATTGTTGGAGACTTCAGAGATCTGTCTCGCAGCTACCAGCAACTCAGAAATGCTTTTATCGGTCTAGGAAGCCCTATCGTGAGGAATTTTTGTAACAAAATCACCAATACCTTCCTCACCACCAGCCAAAGCCAAGGGTATAGCAATTTAGCACAGTAAATTGCAGCCAGGTTGTTGGTGAGGGCTTTGGCACACAAACAGCTCCATACCAAGCGGCCCACATGGTAAGAATAAGGGAAGGCCGGGCCATGAAACTCACTGGTGACTTAGGTTACGTGCACAGTCCTGGGGACTGGCCTTGGCAGTAGCTGAATTTCTGATCCGAGTTAACTCCTGAAATACTTGCATAGGGAGAATTTCCAGGATGCCAAAACTCTCAATTGGCCTTTGGATTTGCTCGCCTATAAAAGTTAATCAAGTTATCCAGCCTTACCCTGTTTTTCTGCCCTTTGGTAATCAAGACACAACAGGTGATTTGAAAAAGAGTCCATCATTTTAAAAAACTAATGGAGGAAAAAAAGTCCTCCTTAGAAACCACCACCATTTATCTCCTGCCTTTTACTGTTTAAACTGTACATAATTTGTGTTGATTGCATTAAAATAAAAATCAGGATAGCTGCCAGTTCAGGCAATCAGGGGCTTAATCTGTATTGTACTTTAATTTCTTGGTTGAAATGCGCCTGTCTAGATACTAGGTCTTGGGCGGGGGAGGCCTTTGCATTTCTCCCCCTGCTTTCCTGTCTTCTGCTGTGGCCTGCTTCACGTAGGCTGCAGAGATGGGGTTTTGGCAAATACACAGTTTGCATACTGTAGTCATTGCTCCCCTGTCTCCACCCCAGTTTTAAAAGGACCTCTTTCCCCTGCAGGAAGTTGAATCCCTTGCATTTTCATTCAGACAGTGACACCCTAGAAGACTGCTTCTCATTCATGTTTAATTAGAGTCTGGTCCATTCTTGTCTTCCACCTTTTCCCCTGTGATGTTCATACCTCATATTATTTTCAAGCTGGGGTTTAATGTGTAGTCCAATGGACAAAAATAAGCCAGCATATTTTTTTTGTGTGTGCCACTATGTGCTGACAGATGCATAGTTAAAATATTTGCCTTTGATTTTCCTTGGAGTTCTAGACAGATCTCTTTTCTTAACTGCCTAGGTCCCGCCATTGACTTGGAAAAAGTAAAGTCAGAATGTCTCGAGCCCGAGCCGGAGTTACGGAGCACTTTCAGTGAGGAAGCAAATACGTCGTCCTATTACCCTGCTCCTGCACCTGTCATGGACAAGTATATCCTAGACAATGGCAAGGTAGTGTTTCAAGCTCACTCTCCATTCCCTACAAGTGTTGGTTAGTCAGTGTGAAGGTGGAGGGTACGGTGGGAGCTTCCCGAGATACAGCGACCGCTTGGCCTTGAGCCTAGCCCTGTGACTGCTTCCAGAATCCATGTGCTGTAACCAGTGGAGCTTCACTAGGACTTTTTCTCTTCTTTTTTTTTTTTTTGGTAAATATTGGGCCAAAGCAACTATAAAACTAAACTGACATTTAAAAATAGCTTATTAGTGAGAAAGATAATTTAAAATGATAATCTGATGAAACCAGATGCATAAAATGTATAAGGTGATCTCGAGATAAGATATCTGATTTACAGATATGGCTGTGGCTGAGTAATTATTCATTCATTGTTTGCAAAGTACCTATGTGTTGTAAGTCCTATCCTAACCCTAAATGCCGGGGATACAGAGGTGATTGGGACATGCTCCTTACTCCTAAGCTGCTTTCAAGTTGTACACTCAGCTTGGTTATCCCACAGTCCTAGGACCACATATAACTCCTCATATTTTTATGTAAGACTCTTGGGGAAAAAGTTATGAAAGAAAACTTAAGCACTATTAGTAGTTATATTAGTGCAGGGTGAAAAGTAATGGAAAAGCCTTTGGAAGTCTTAAAGTCACATATATGACATAGCAGCAGGGCAAGGGGAAGACTTCTAATATTCTTCCTACATCCAAGTGAATTCATCTTGGAGGAAATACACTGGCTCTCTTTGTCTAGGCACTGGTCATATTCAGTTTTACTGTAATAGTCTTTGCCACCATGGCATGCATTATAGACATCACCTCTCCTTCTCCCCAGAGACTCATCTGTCACTCTGTTTTTCTTGCCTTATGCTTCAAAAGGTCTCTGTTTATCCAGTATCATTCCCCAGTGGGTTGATGAGAAAGGAAAGGTTGTTTTATTTGGGTTTCTCCAGATATATCCCTGCAGCTGGCCAGGCTGAGCCAAAGCAAGCATTGTCAAGCCAAGGAAATGAAAGTTGTTGGTCTTTAGGGCTCCCTTGGATATGCTGCCCTCCTCTTTCTATCCATGTGCCCTCGACTCCCTCAGAGCACTTCCTCCCCTGCAGAGGCAGAACTGATGGGTCAAACCATAGGCCTGTTCTGCCCTGCCTTGCTGCAACCTACAGGTTTTAAAAATCTGCTTTGCTGGGAAGAGGTGGCATGACAGAGTGGAAGTAGGCAGCCTGGAACCTGAGTTTAAGCTTAACTCTGTCCTACTTGTGTGACTCTGAGTGGGGGCTTCCCTTCTCTGGGCCTCAGCGTCTCTAGCTGTGCCAGGTGGGATCAGATTAGTGCTCTCCATAGTCATTAAAAATGACTTAAACTGTGTATCTAACTTTGGTGAACCTTCAGCAATTAGAGATGAAGAAGAGACTTTTCTGTCTTCGTTGATTTCTTCTTAGGCACAATCATGTAGTGGAATGACTATAGACTTTCTCTTAAAGTAGCTTCTAAGAGAAATCTATTTCTCTCTTGCTTTAAAGACTGGTGGACAGTTTCTGGGCATTATGAGGATCTTTTGAAAGGATCATTTTCCCTCCAGGGAATTGTGTCTCTCAATTGTCATTTGGTTTTTTTCATACTCAAGCTGCACAACCTATCTTGAAAGTGCCAAGTTTGTTTTATCCTTGATTATGGCCCACGTGTTGCTATAAAACTAACTGGCTTTTGTTTCTACCAATTTATAGTCAAAGGAATTGATTAAGGGAGGCAAAGGAAGCAGACATCCCGGAAATGCCCAGCAGCTTGCTTAGAACAGTCCCCCACATCCCAGAAGTAGTCATCATTATTCTTGGCTTTGCTGCCATTCCAGACCCTTCCTTCTTTCTGCCTCGGTCTCTGTAACGCCCAGAGCATGGGAATGAAATCCGTTTCCTAGTAGGAAACTAGTTTTGTCCTCCAAAACATTTCACAAAGGCATTCTTTGATCAAGTCCCATCCTACCAGATGCCATATTTTTAATAACTTCCCTTGAAAGCGTTAAGGCTGACATTTCGGTCCAATAGTGAACTGTGGTTTATGTGAATAAGGGCTTGCCATAAAAGTTACTTTCTGATTTGGCTCAAGCGCATCTCTTTTCTTTGTCTTAAGATATTTTATTTCAAAAACTCATTGAATCGTAAAGCTTCAAAGGCCATCAAAGTTTAAATAGTTAATTTATACGCGGGATGGATGGGGAAATACATCCAGAAGAGGGGCTTGTCTACAGCTGTACACCAGAGCAGAGGCAGGCAAGAACTAGAAGCCAGGTCGCCCGGCTCTCAGGCTGGTGCCCTTTCCAGCCTGTTCTGCTGCATCCTTCAAAGCGGGGTGTTGCTCCAGGTGACCCTGAGTTCTGTTGACCTCAGGAACCCTTGTCCCAAATGCCCCCAGCCCATTCCTATGATCAGTCTTAACTCAGGGCTGTTTCTTTCTGTGCTGCGTAGCTGGCCTTGTACTCGAATGCATGTCAGAAAACATTTTCTTCTTCAAGGAACAGCAGCTCATCTGAACTGAAAGCCAGTGCCATTAAGACATATTAAATATGTGCATCAGTTTCTTACAGCTTTGTGTTCAGACTAGTCTGGGCCACTTTGTAGGGGACGAAAGAGGCAAAGCCTGGACCTCTCCCCATGGAGATGGACTGAGAAGGTAGTCAGGGCTCTTAGTAAGTTAGAAATTCAGAGTGGATGGAACTTAGCCCAGGAGTAGTGAGGGAGGTTTTCTTTCATTGGGGGCTGGGGTTTAAAAGATTATCAGGCTTAAGGAGATATAAGGGAAGGCTTTCATCCCTGGGTGGGGGAGAGGCATGAACAGAGACAGAAATGGGAGAAAGAAGGCAGCAAAAGTAACAGTTTAGGGTTGTGTGCTACCCTCCTATATTGTCCTCACGGTATCTCACTTATCTTCAGAATAGCTCTTTATTCAGGTGGCCATCTGCCTCTGGTACAGCTGAGAAAAGAAAGGCTCAGAGAGGTACAGTGACTAGCCCAAGATACCCAGCTGGTAGGTAGAAGGGCTCGGATTCACACAGAGAGGAGACTCTAGAGCCTGTCCTTCTGTCACCAGACACTGGACATAGGAGAAAATGAGTGAGTTTAGGGACATCGTTGGATGGTAGACATGCTATGCTTAACAGGTTGAATGGAAACAGGATTCTAGAGGACCTTTAAAACCGACTGAGGACGTTACATTTGATGTGACAGAAAACAGGGGGCCATTCAAGATTCCAGAGGGTTAACATCAAAACACAGTTGAAAGACTGCGGAAGTCATCTAGTCAAAGAAGGAAAGCTGTGTTTTAAGGAATTGATCTGGCAGTGTTTACAGCGTGGGTTGGTCGGGGCAGGGACTGGGAACAGGAAGGCCAGCCAGTGGCTTTTCTCCAGGTTTCCCTGACTGCAGTGTGACCCACAGTGGGTGCTGGCCAGCAAAGTGGTTGGACAGGTGCAGAGGGGGGCTCAGGAGGAAGGCCAGATGAACATAAATCTGCTGTGTTTCCACCACGTCGGCACCACCGTGACCCTGGCAGCAGCGGGAGGCCAAGAGAGTGTGGGCTGCAGGGTCGTACGGATTTAGAGGTGAACCTTGATTCCAAAATTTTCTGATAGTATGTCTTAGGAAAACTACTTAGTCCTTCTGAATCTCTGCCCTGTCTGTAAATATTTCTACCTCTTTCCATCTCTTAAGGTCATTATGTTTATAACGAAATTAAGAGTGCAATACCTAGTTCATAATGGGTACTCAAAAAAATATTAGTGTCCCCTTTGTCTTGTAGAAGAACATTGACCAAGATAACTACCACCTCTCTTTAAAGAACAATAAATTGAAAGGTTGTAGGAAAACAAGGCTTGAGTAGAAAAGAGGAAAGATCTTTGGAAAATTGAAGTTGCCCTCCATCTCCAAGGGTTTCTGATTCAGTGTTTAATCTAATTCGCATCCCTTGTTTCCTCCTATCTCAGGGTAGCCGCAGAGAGTCATCCAGGGAGGTGACCTGGGGTCCAGCAGGGAGCAGGAGGGAGCTAGTCGCCAGCAGGCCTGATCTGGTACACGGACTGCCCACCTGCAGTTCAGGCTGCAGAGAAAAGGCCAGACTCGACCTTGGGTGGATGTTGCCCAGCAGCCCCAGGCCAACACACCTCACTCCACGGCTGCTTATCTTCCTGAGCTATGTGGGCAGAGTTGCAGCGCTGAGGTTTGTAGCGCAGGGAGGCCAGGAGGATCTGGTTATCTGATATGGTGCCCGCAGAGGTCTGAATGATCTTTCGAGCAAAAGGAAGTGAAGTTGGATGTGGCAGTGTTAGATTGTTTACCTACTCACATTCGTGGCTGGGCTGTGTTGCTCTATTTTTTCTTGTTCATGGTCTGAAACCCCAGTAATTGGTGAAGGAAGAAGTGTTGCTGGCTGACCTGTCTGCCCATCTGTGCATGCCCACTGTGCTTTCCAAGTCGATCTTCAGTAGAGAGCTCTTCAGATATGTCTGAACCCTGAGTCCTGCCAGTCCGCTGTCAGTCTGGCTGTGTGTATGCTGTCTCTCAGACCAGGACTCTCCCAGGATATCTCCTGACCATGCGAGGTCCACGACTGACGGTCTCTGAAGACAAGGACCTTGGCAGGGACTTTCCAGTCCCCTCAGAAAATTTAACTCGTCAGCGGCTGCCTCTCCCACTGTCCCCACAGAGGCCACATCCACCCTCCGCGGACTCGGTAGAAACGCAGCATGAATGGCAAGGTCGAAGTCAGAACTTCATTTTTAAATGATTAACATCAGCAAATGGTTTTTAAGTCGTTAAAAGAGCCAGAAAGGAAAAGGAAACCTCAAAGCTCCTTGCTAGATTATTCTGGGACATCTGTGTTTATGGACTCTACTCTGAAACTTTGAGCGCTTCCCTTATAAGGAGCAGAAGGTTGTGTTTTGTTCTGTGTGCCATCAGAATCAGACCAGGGACACAGTGGTTGTGTTTAATTTGTTAAAATCATAGGTTTTCTGAGCCAGAAGGAACTTAGCTGAAATCTAGCTCTCCCTGCTCAGTTCCTGAAAACTGAAGCCAGAGATAGAAAGAACATGCACGCACACACACTCCGCGAGCAGCACACACTCCGCGAGCAGCAGGGCCTGGGCGGTTTCCCTCCCCACTCCAGCGGCTGCGCCGCCACACCCCGCTGTACCCTGGAGGCACCTGGGGAGCCCCACCCAGACAACACAAATCCACTCTGAAACTTCATCGTTAAGTGACTTTTCAAAGGTGGCTGCACCTCTCCCAACCTGGTTTTTCTTACCTGAAATGAAAATAGCGCCCCAACACCTTCCTTCCAGGGTGGCTGTGAAGATCTGAGAGAGGGGATATAAAGCACTAGCATAAGGCCTGGCACAATACAGGTGTTCAGTAAATGAGGATTGTTGTTTCCCTGAAAGGAAGGTAATTGGTATTTATGGAGCAGATCTCTTGCAGTTGCGCAGCAGTGTCTTAAAGGACAGGAAAAGCTTCCCACCACCATCCTGGCCGACTAAACCGGTGCTCGCTTGTGTTCTTACCCCTTCCAGGTCCATCTGGGAAGCGGGATTTGGGTTGATGAGGAGAAATGGCACCAGCTGCAGGTCACGCAAGGAGACTCCAAGTACACGAAGAACCTGGCAGTCATGATTTGGGGCACAGACGTTCTGAAGAACAGAAGCGTCACGGGAGTTGCCACAAAAAAAAAGAAAGACGCAGTCCCTAAGCCACCCCTCTCGCCCCACAAACTAAGCATCGTCAGAGGTGGGTCCTGCACTGGAGACGCGGTGACCGAGACCCTGCCCTCACCCCTGCCGGGGGTACGGGGCCCGCTTCAGTTCGGCATGCCCGCTGAAGCCTCGCCGTGCCGGGGCCTGGCCTGGACACAGGAGCCCAGGAGCAGATTCGGCCCTGGTCCTGAGAGCGCTCACATCTCACAGGGCAAACGAGCTGTAGACACGAGTGCTGTTTAAGGAGCTCGCACGCGAGAGGGGCAGAGGGGGGTTCTCAGGAGGGCAGGAAACCCCTAGCTGGGAAATCAGGGAGGGTTCCTGGTGTGGGTCACTGAAGTGGGCTTTGAAGGACCGACCAGACATGGGGACACAGATGTTTAAAGAGAGGTACTCTGGACAAAGGTGTGGGGCTGGGAAAGGAGGCTGCTGTGTAGAGTGCTTGAAGGTCGAGGCTAGGACACCAGCTCCTGGGGATCCTAGCGTTGTGCCTAGAGTACTTAGTGAGATGAGGACCAGCCAAGGGTCGCTAGACTGAGCTTCTTTTCTGGGGTTCGGGAGGGTTTGGAGGGAAGGCAAAGAGAGAGTTTGTTTCCCTAAAGGTAGGGCTCTAACCTGGACTGTCATTTTCCTACCCTCCTGCCTTCCTTTCTCCTCTCTCTTTCCTCTTCCCTCTTTCTCTCTTCTGTCTCTCCCACCTGTTCTCCATCTGTTCACTAAGCTCTTATTCTTTACCAAACTCTACCGTGTATGGAGGACTTAAAAAGGGCTAAGACACAGTCTCCATCTGCAAGGAGCTCAGAGTCTCATGGGAAAGGTGAACACAGAAAAGCTCGTTATAGTACAGAGAATGCAAATTACAGAGACAGGAAAGTACACGGGAGCAGGGAAAATATAATAATTGCTAATTATTCTGAGCACCTACGATGTTTCAGGTCCTTGTTTTTTTATGATTCTATGTTAAAAATTCTTTTACATATATTAACTCATTTAATCTTCATAACACATAACTCTCCCTTCTGTTGGCTGCTAATATTATCCCTGTTTTTGATGTGGAAACTAGACACGGTGATGTTAAGTAACTTGCCCAGATCACACAGTTTTAGGACTAGAGCCAGGAGTCTTAGCCAGGAGGGCTGGCTTCAGAAGCTGTCTTCCTAACCTCTCGTCTCTTTAAGTGTCCAGCTGCCAGGTTTTGATGAAGAAAGTAAGACTCAACCAGTCAGCATTTCGATGTGCATTTCAAACAGGCCTTGTGCCAGGTTGTAGAGCAAACAGCAAATATGTCCACGAACAGATCAGATAATTTCAGGTATTGATGAAAGGCTGTGATGTATATCCGAGTGAGACAGTAGCTATGTTAGCTGTGGTGGGTGGAGAGGACCTGTTCGAAGAGGTGGTTTCCAGCTGGGAACTGGATGTGGAGGAGGCAGTCCTGTGTGGTTCGAGGGGGTGTGAAAGAGGCAGAATAAATAACAGGTTCAAAGGCCAGCATGCTCAAGGGGTGAAGAAGACCCAGGCAGCTGCAGAGTCATGAGTGCAGGGAGACTGAGGCCAGGGTGGTGGGCAAGGGATGGTCTTGGGCCTTGAAGACCATGATGAGTGGCTTGACTTACTCTTCTTACAGGAGAAAGATAGTATGGAGTCTTCAGCGGGAGGGACTCAGTGGGACGCCAGTGGGAGGCTGATGCAGTGGTGCCAGAGACTGAGGTCAGGGCATGGGGACAGAGGGAAATGGCCAGTTGCAGGGTGTATTTTGGAGATCCAGATGTCAAGACACAGAGAGATTAGGTGACCAACTAGAAGTCGTGGCTACCAGGTTTCAGAGCCTGGATTGAAACCCACCTGGCTGACTCTGATCTGGGGTTTGTTCTGGAGCTCAGCTGCCTCCCTGGATGGCTGATTCATGGTTAATTGATTTAGGCAGAAACCTATTTTTAAACAAGCAGAGGTAACCTGTAGTCTGCCCACTGCCTGAAATGATGGAGCCTAATTTAGGTGGTCGCCCTGAGAAAGAGCCCTTCCTGGGGACACAGCCCCACCTCCCCAAGGGGTGGCCAACCTCTGATTCTGCTCCACTTGTTGGAATGTGACTCAGCAGGTTCCCTATCACTGTCACGCCACGGTATAAAGTCATCTGCCATGTGTCTGCCTCAGACATTAGTGTGACCGTGTCAAACTCACCTCTGTGTCCTCCTTGCCTGATACAGGACCTGACGCCCTGGTAGCTCAGTCAGTGAGGGCTGAATAAACACTACCCTGGGACCTGCAAGCCATCCCCCGATTGACTGTTCACACAGTGTCTTGTGAACCAATTTCCCTCCATGTCCAGTGTCCTCAGCTGAACACTTACCTCTCAGATGGTTAAGAGGGCTGTTTGATAGCTTGGGTTACAGTTACGCCGCAGGTATGAAAACAGATTGCCATTCTTTCCTGAGCTGCGCCGTGGGGCTGGCCTGACTTCGTGATGGTCATATCATTGAAGTTCACGACTGCTCAGTGCTTTTCAACTTTCAGGCCCCTCCCGACTGCTCCCAGTGAGAGGCAAGGGAAAACAGAAATTTGGAAAGGAATATCAAAAGCTTGGGGTTGAGCCCCAGCTCTGCTTTGCCTTAACTCTGAGCTGACCCCAGTTCTGTTTAATTTTGTTTCCCCAGGCCCAGAGCAGTGCTCATACCAGGTAGATGCTTGATGTGTCCTTGTGTAAGGGCAGGATCGTAGCCCATGCCCAGGCTGCCCAGTGGACACAGAGACATTATTTATGTGCTTTGGACCCCGTGCAGATTGATGTTCTTTGTAGCTGATCTGGTCCCCAATACTAAGGGACAATCTAGAAGAAAACACCTTAGCCATATGGCTTGGGGCCATTACAGACTTACTGTCTTCAGCCCCACAGGCCACGCCCTCTAAGTTTCCCTCACTCATCCACTCCTCAATTTTCCAAACCCTCTTTCAAGCTTCTCTACTTTTCCCGTGAGAGTCCACACCTCTTTTTTCAAAAGATGGCCTTGTCTCCTCCTTCACAGAGAAAAGAGAAAGAAATCTCACAGCTTCGATCCACCACATCTACAAACTTACCTGGACTCCCCAGTTTTATGCCTCATGTCCAAAAGATGGACATGTCTTCCTTGTCTTATTTGGGACTGGTCATTCTCTCTTTCTAAGTTTCAGCCCACCTGCCTTCCTGAGTACATTATTCCTCCTACTCGGTTGGTTCCTTCCCAGTGCCATTTAATATACTTTGGTCACTCATTTCTTACAGAAGCAAGTAAAACACTCCCCCAGGCCACCTCCACCACCCAGCTGCGGCCCTGTCTTCCTTTTCACATCCAGGTTTCCCGAAAGAGTTGCCAACACTCAGGGCCCGCGTGCACTAGCAATGCCCCTGCCGTCCTGTCTGACTTCCGCTCCAGCCCTCTGTCCTTGCCAAGCTTCCCTCCGGCTCTTCACCCCTCCAGGGCAGGACTCCACCTCCTCCCCAGCGCGTGTGACCGCTCCTCCTTCACTGAGAAGCCCATCGTGCCCGCTCAGGCCTCCTCCTGCCTGTGGCTTCTCATCCCCATTGTGGGCTCCTTTCCCCCTGCCCTCTCCTCCATCTCCAGCCCTCCTCCCTCTCCCTCCACAAAGCTAACCTCTGCTGCTCTCACTCCGCTTGGTTCCCATTGCCCCCGGCATGCACACAGCCCAGGGTTGAAATCCACACTCATGATCTTGGCCGCTGCCTGGTGATCTGCCTCTGGTGACCCCTCCAGCCTCATCTCACACCACACTTCCCAGTTCCCACTGCACTCTAACCACTGATGTCCTCTCCCAGTTCATTCCTGTCCCCACTTCCTGCCACGCCCTTCCTCTGGTCTGCACACTCTGCCTCTGTGTCATTCAGAGAGGCCTTGACTTCCAAGTCCTTGACTTCCAACTGTCCAGGCTGATGAAGTAGCCTTGCCATCGCTCTTTTAACACATCACCCTCCCTAAAGTCTGCACTGCATTTCTTATTTATTTGCTTGATGACTGACATTCTTCCCCACCCCCATGAAAACTTGAGCTCTATGAGATTCTTGCTCAGGGCCAGTATGTTGTAAGTGCTTAATAATATTTATTGAATCAGTGACTGATGGCAAATATATATTTGACCTCAGTTCACACTTTGAGGTTCCTGACCCTTACATTCAGGTGCCACTGGTCATCTCCTCCTAGATGTCTGCATTACACCTGCACATCTGCACCCCTCACTGCTCTCTTCTTCCTTCACCCCAGAGCCTCTGACCTGTGTTCACCGTCATGCTGAAGGACACACCACCACCTTCCCGGGACCCAGAGATGCCTCATTCCGCACTCCTTGTTCAGCTCACTCTCCATCAGTTCTGCCCCTAGATACCTTTTAAACCATCTGCTTCTCTCCATACCCATTGCCGCTTTCTTTTCTCCCCTGCCTTACCCCAGCAGCTTCCAGACTCCTCTCTTTATATGTAATCAGAGTGATCGTTCCAAAACCAAATATGATCCTGTTACCACCACCCCGACACCTGGTGCCCATTATTAAAGGGTAAACTTCTTATATATGCCGTCTTTGAGACTCCATGGATTGTAGCCCACCAGGCTCCTCTGTGTTTGAAATTTTCTAGGCAAGAATACTGGAGCAACTTGCCATTTCCTACTCAGGGGGTCTTCCCAACCCAGGGATCGAACTCACGTCTCCTGCTTTGGCAGGCAGATTCTTTACTACTAGAGTCACCTGAGAAGCTTCTTACCGTGTCATAAAAGCGCCATAATCTGGCCCCTGGCCTGGAGCTCCAGCTTATTTTTTTAGCATGTTGCCCTTGAACTGTAAGTTCTTACTATAATGAGAGGCTGTGTTCCAACAAGCCTTGTCCTCTCTCACATTAGGGAGTTTGCAGATGCTGTGTCTGGCACCAGAAGCATAGGTCAGACAGCCCACCTGACACCTGGGCTGCTCTGCCCACCCAGCTGTTACTCACTGCCCAGGTGCGCTTACGAGAACCTTTCTTCAGGAAGCCTTCCCTGACCTCTCAGGGTAGGGAGATGCTTCTGTTGTGTGTCCTAGGGCACCTTGCGCCTGCCTCTGTCCTCTTCTGTCTGTATCTTTGCCTCCTAGGTACCTGGTCAAATAACCCTTTAGAGCCCATAATACTTGCCATACCAGTGAATAAGAGGGAAATTGACTTACCCAAGGCCATACATCTGGTTCGATCAGAGTTGAGCTGAAGTGGGCTTTCAGGCTTCCCCAGGTCTCCAGGGGTTTCTTGTCTTACTGAAGTACAATGTCAATTTGTTTTTTGTTTTTTTGGTTTTTTTTAACTACAGCCCAGAAGGTTTGAAGTCTGTCTCCATTGCAGCATGCACTCACCGTTTTTAGCCTAATTATTTGAGGTGGCATTTGACTGGTTCTTCCCATGCAGGCTGTCTTCTGGACTGAGATCGTTTATGTTTGTTTTGTATGACTTTACCACATTTACTCACATTGGACATGTCAAAATGACAAAAGCCTTGGTGCTCACAGGGTTGGTGAGGACTTTTTCTTCTCTTGGGTTTGAAAGTCATTCTTCACCAGGTAACTGGGGAGTGGGGTGAATGCTGACACTGCTTTAGAAAGGTGAAAGCAGGAGGGGTGGAGGGGCGTCTCGCTGTAATGACAAGCTCCAGAATGACAGTTAAACCCTTATTAAGGTCAAATGACCTTTTGCAGACTGTCTCAGTTTTCAAATGAGCCACAGCATTGAGTTCTGGTTAATTTTTATAACTTTTTTAATAGGACACATTAACGCTGTTATAAACCTTGTTAATTAAGCAATAATCTCAAACGCTCCCTCGCAGAGGGAGACATTCCCGGCAACTGCAGGTGATTAATATCTGGTGCCTAACGAAAGCCTTTTAATCAACCTCAGGGGCTATTCAGCGCTCTTACCCCCAGGAAACGAGAGTGATTGGTATTCTGTGGAGGCTGCTCTGGAAACCTTCCTCCATCTGCCCATTTCTCCTCCTGCTGCTTCTCAGGGCCGACACACCCACTCCCCTGCCCCCTCCTCTCTCCTTTGCCTCTCCACCCGCCCTGTTACCTTCCAGGGAACTAGAGCCCTGCATCTGGAAGAGTCTCCTTAGATGATCAGATTTGACCTGCTTTCAGACCGTGAGACTGAGACCCAGGGAGGTTCCCACTCGAGGTGGCCCAGCAACTAGGGTTAGAGCCACATTCAAATCCCTGAACTTGGAGACACCCCTCATGTGATTCACGTTCCAGCAACATCACTGCAATTGTCTGCCTCACCCTGGCCCAGGGCTGGAGAGGGAACCCCCAGGGGTCTAGTTTGTAGGAGAAACAGTGTGGTCACAGTTTTATTGGATTGTGGTCAGGGATTTGATAGGGAACAACCCAGATGAGTCTGGAGCACCAAGAGTGTAGGCAGAGTGGGGTCTCTGGCTCAACCTGGGAGATTCCAAGATGAATGAATCTAGAAGAATGAGTGGGATTTAGTCAGGTGAAGGATGAAGCCAGGGTAATTGGGGAGGAGATGAGCAAAGACTCATTTGTGGGCCCCCCTGGAGTGGGGTGGGACGTGGAGTCAGCAGAGGTAGGACTGGAGAGACAAGGCTACCTGCCTTCTCGTCTCAGTCCCCGTAGAAAGGCCAGCACAAGACAAAGTGCAGGTTGGTCAGGAAGTAGTGAAGGTCAGCTGAAAGCTTTTAAAGCCTTCTCCGCAGGGAGGAGACATGCTTCAGAGAAAGAAGGCCTACAGCACACACACCCGCAGCCTGACTGGCAGCAGGAGGCAGGCTGGCTGTGTGCCCAGGGAAGGGCTCAGAGCAGAGACCACGGGGGATCTTGCCCACACTTAACTGCTCTCCAGGCTTCGGTCTTGTCTCCTGTGGGCAGAGGAGTTAGCACAAGGTAGTCTCCGTGATTCCTGCCAGGGTTGATGCTCTGCACCACTGACAGGATTGCCCACCCTGTACTGGCCTGGTAGACAAGACTTCATGTGTGTGCAAGCATGTGCCCAGTCCTGTCTGACTCTGTGACCCCATGGACTGGAGCCCACCAGGCTCCTCTGTCCATGGAATTGTCCAAGCAAGAATACAGAGTGGGTTGCCATCTCCTCCAGGGAAGACTTTGTTCATCCTCCCTAGCAGTTCCTCGAGACCGGGTTGCCATTCCTATTTTATAGACAAGGAGGACCAGGTGCAACAAAGTTAAAAATCTTGCTTAGGACTATATACCCCAGTGGTTCATTCCCCACTCACAACCGTAGTCCCCTTATGTGCAGAATTATCATGTCCCCTCAGGTTTCCTTAGAAAAACATTCATGCATCCATTTATTCATTTAGCAGGCATTTACTTACTCTTGCCCCTGTGCCAAGCACTGTGCTAGACCCTGGGAGCAAACAGTGGTATATACATATACATAAAATAACCGTGACAACCCCATACAGGTATAGTGTTCCTTACAGTTTGACAAAATCTTGCAGATTGCAAAATGTTTGTGTCACATCCTTCATGGCAGCCTTAAAAAAGATCACATGTGGTTTCTTATCCTTGTTTAGTAGATGAGGAATCTAGGGCAATGATTTGCCTCAGGTCCCCAGGCTAGGAAGTAGGCCACCATCAGGCCTCAGTCAGATTCTGTCCGAGGCTCACTCTCTGCCTCATCTCAGCAAAAGCTGAGTCAGTGCAAGTGGCTGTCCTCAGTCTCATTAGTGATCACCTCCCTGAGGCACCACTTCACACCCCCCCGGTGGTCAAAACCTTAACAGTCAGTTAAGATGTATGCATACTGAACTCTGAGGGCTTCCTGGTGGCTCAGTGGCCAATGCAAGAGATGGGGGTTCCATCCCTGAACCGGGAATTTCCCCTGGACTAGGAAATGGCAGCCGACTCCAGTATTCTTGCCCGGAAAATTCTATGAGCAGAGGAACCTGGTGGACTACAGGCTATGGAGTCACAAAGTCGGACATGACTGAGTGTGCACAGACACACACACACACAGCCCATGTGGCCCCATGGGCTGTAGCCCACCAGGCTCCTCTGTTCATAGAATTTTCCAGGGAAGAATACTGGTGTGGGTTGCCATTTCCTAGTCCAGGGGGACTTCCCAGTTCAGGGATGGAACCCATGTCTCTTGCGTCAGCAGATTGATTCTTTACCAGCTGAGCTGCTGAGCCACCAGGAAGCCTTCAGAATTCGGTGTGCATTCACTCTAACGCAGGGCAGTTTCGGCCAAGGCCCGTACTGGGCATTTCCTGTCCATCTGCCCCAGGACACACGGCCTAAGTGCTTGTAATTGCAGAACATAGCAAACAATCCAAGTATTCACTGACAGTAAAGTGGTTCAGTCAGTGGTGGATTAGTCGGATGATAGAACACTACTCATCAGTGAAAATAAATGACCTGCAGCTATACTTACACTTCAGCATGGGTAACTCTCAACATTGAGTGAAAAGAAAGAAAGTCAGATGGATATACAGAGTAGGGAGACACTTGTAAAAAGTTCAAAACAGGGGAAGAGTAGACGATGTGTTATTTGACGATGTGTCAGTCAGTCAGTTCAGTCACTCAGTCGTGTCCGACTCTTTGTGACCCCATGGACTGCAGCACGCTAGGCTTCCCTGTCCATCACCAACTCCCAGAGCTTGCTCAAACTCATGTCCATCAAGTTGGTGATGCTGTCCAGCCATCTCATCCTCTGTCATCCCCTTCTCCTCCTGACTTCAATCTTTCCCAGCATCAGGGTTTTTTTCAATTAGTTCTTCGCATCCGATGGCCAAAGTTTTGGAGTTTCAGCTTCAGCATTAGTCCTTCCAATGAATATTCAGAACTGATTTCCTTTAGGATGGGCTTGTTTGATCTCCTTGCAGTTCAAGGGACTCTCAAGAGTCTTCTCCAGCACTACAGTTCAAAAGCATCAATTCTTCTGTGTTCAGCTTTCTTTATAGTCCAACTCTCACATCCACACATGACTACTGGAGAAACCATAACTTTGACTAGACGGACCTTGGTCGGCAAAGTAATGTCTCTGCTTTTTAATATGCTGTCTAAGTTTGTCATAGCTTTTCTTCCAAGGAGCAAGTGTCTTTTAATTTCATGGCTGCAATCACTATCTGCATAAAGATGTGTGCGTATGTGTTAACATGAAAAGAAAAAGAAATTCAGGAGAGCAGTTACCTCTGGTGAGGACGAGGAGAGGGTAGGATGGGGGAGGAGTGTCTTGGAGCTTCAGAGGGACCCCATTAAGCAGGGGCTGGGCACATGGGCGTTGTATCTTTATTTTTAAAGTGTAAATTTACAGTGTAGATCTCTTTTCTCAGTACATTTTGTGTTGAAAATTTTAAAAGGCAACCGTGCCAGCTATGTGAATTGGTACTTTGGAAGTATGTCAGGAGGCACATTTTCCTTTCTCTCCCGTAAAGATATGTACTTGAATGCACCATTAATCCTTGGCCTTCTTGTTTCTTTTCCCTGTCTAGAGTGTTTGTACGACAGAATAGCACAAGAAACTGTGGATGAAACTGAAATTGCACAGAGACTCTCCAAAGTCAACAAGTACATCTGTGAAAAAATCATGGATATCAATAAATCCTGTAAAAATGAAGAACGAAGGGAAGCAAAATACAATTTGCAATAAACTTTGGATTTTTCATAAAGCCTTCTCGTTTTCCTTGCTTGGCGTGTGATTTGCGGGCGATGGTGTTGTCCAGATCAGACCCCACCATGCATGGTGGTGTACGGGCCAGGAGCCAGGAGGGTTCTGGGGTCAGCCGGCCTGTTCTGAACTTGGACTTCTCACTCCAAAGATGGCAGATGGATTTGCTGAGATTCAGGCAGCAACCTGGCACCAGAGTTGTTCTGGGGATGGTGAAAATCCTGTCCTTTTGGAAGGGGATGAAGTGACTCTGAGTTGCCTATCACTCGGCCAAGAATTTGAGCTGATATTTTTACCATTCAAGGACTTCTATCTTTGTTCCTCTATTTTGTTCTATAATAAAGCTTCATTAATTCTTTGCTGTAGACAATCTTTATCCTCATTTATTTAAGGATGGATATTAAGTGTACAGTGGATGTGACCAGTGTCCTTTGAGGGGCAGAACATTCAGGCTGAAGGAAAGAAAACTCATAATGGATGTAACTGCTGTCTGCAGATTTGAAGGGCTTTCTTGAAGCAGATTACTTTCTCTTACCTCAGGGGACAGATCTAGGTCCAGTCACCTCTCCATCAATGTGATCTGAGGCTCAGCTTCCCTGATAATTTGAGTCAATCTGTAGAAGAGTGTGAGGGGGTGGTGATATTAGATGTGGTTCAGGGTTACCTTCAGGAAGTTGGAGGCAACATCACCTGGTGTCGATTCATCAAGTGATCTTTCAAGTTGCATAATTTGTATCTCTTTCAGTACCTGCGTCTCTAAAGTGCCTGGTGCACAATCAAGCAAACCACATTTGATCTTCCTGTTGATTTTCACTTCCTTTCTGTAATGCCTGTTCCTCTGAAGTCAGCATCGGCCTTCCTGGTGGCTCAGCATGTAAAGAATCTGCCTGCAATGTGGGAGACCTGGGTTCGATCCCTGGGAGGATCCCCTGGAGACGTGAGTGGCTACCCACTCCACTATTTTGGCCTGGAGAATTCCGTGGAATGTATCTAGTCCATGGGGTTGCAAAGAGTCGGACACAACTGAGCAATACACATGTGCACACACACACATATATATACACATGCACACACACGTGTGTGTGTGTATGTATACCGCTCAATAAATACTGGCAGTCATTTCTGGTTATTGACTTTTAAGCATTGGCTGGAAAACTTGGCATCTGGTTTCTCTAATGCTTTATCCACTAAGCCATTAGATCATTGGTGGTCTATAAGCAAAAACTCAGGGTCATTAGGGTGAATAGTGGATGTGGCTACTTTTATGAGAAGTTTTATTTTAGTACATAAAATAATTATCTCTGATATGAAATATTATATGCTTGCTAATAGGTTGTATAAGTGAATTTCTGTGTATGGTGTTTTCCCAGCTCTCCACAGACTAGCAATGTGATCTTGGACACTTAATTTCTCAAAGTCCTTGCCAGTACAATGAGGAAAATAATGCATACCATGCAGGCTATGTGGATAATTAAATAATAACAACAACAATAACATACTTAATATGTGCCAGGACTTTTCTAACTGTTTAGTATAAATTAATTGATTAAGTAAGCAGAGTTTGTGACACTTAGTAGAAATCAATAAATTCTTGTTATTAAGATGTGTTCATTTAAACAGCGGGGGCAGCTTGGGCATTAGTAGTGTGGAATGCATGAGAGTCTGGGGAAAAGCATACATCGTATTTGAGTTTATCCCCTTTCCTCCCTCAGCATGACAAACCCTGAGAGGCTCCATGCATTTCCCTACACAGACTAATATGATATGATACCTGCTTAAAGGTACTTTTAGATTGAGAGTGTGGCGAGAGTCATGGAAATACATGTTTAAAATGCTGTGACGTGGAAGTGCTTTAGATAATGCCCATGGGGTCACCAGCTTATACATCAGGGACAGAACAGGGTTGTGAGGGACTGTGGGGTCTGAGTTCACATCGTGACTTTACCACTTTTCAGAAGGTCACTTGACCTTTCTGGAGCTTGTTTCTTCTAAAGTGGAGGTAACAATTCCTAACTCAGCACTGTTGTGGAAAGTAATCTGGGTACTATCTGGAAAAGGAGCAGGCTAATATCTGGTAAATGAGCTCAAAGAGCCATGCAGATGTTATTGATCCTTAGCTTGTAAGGCAGAATAAAATCAGACATGGATGTGACAAGAAAGGACTTAAGAGCTGTTTCTGATGAGGAATCTGGATGAGTGGGGCAGGTGTTTTTATACACTAGTTAGACTGAGACTTTTTGGGCACCTATTGTATACCTGATGCACTGTGACTCATATGAGGGCAAGGCCACTGTTCTTATATTCATACAAAAGAGGAAATGGGCTCAGAAAAGATTAAATAACTTTTTGGCTAGGGTCTCAGACTTGTCAGCAGTGGAGCTGAGTCAGAATCCAGATCTGGGCAAAATCTTCCCTTTTACTTCCACTGAAAGCTGAGTGGAATATTATGGTCTGGGCTGAGACTCTAGCCATGTAATCTCAAAGCATGTTTAGGAGAGTCCCAACATCAGTAACCAATTAATGGAAATTGGTCTCATTAATTCAAGCCATTTGTAGAGATGGGAAATGATAGCACCATTCATGAGGATCTACAGTTTCATTACGTTCAAGTATATACACAAAGCTCAAGATCATTTCGTGTAGCAGGGAGTTTCCCAAACTTGGCCTGTCTTAGGAATTTGCTGAGGAACTTAAAATACAGATTCCTGGTCTTTGGTTTAGAAAGCTGGATTCAGTAGATCTGGGATAGAACTGGAAACATGTATTTTAACACTACTGCCAATATCTGCCCCAGTGGCTCAGTGGTAAAGAATCCACCTGCCAATGCAGGAGATACGGGTTCTGTCCCTGGGTTGGGAACATTCCCTGGGTAGGAAATGGCAGCCCACTCCAGTATTCTTGCCTGGGAAATCCCATGGATAGAGGAGCCTAGCTGGCTACAGTCCAGGAGGTCGCAAAGAGTTGGATATGACTGAACATGCACACCATACACCAGGCCATTTTTGAATAACACCAGTCTAGTAGACTCATTAGAAGTCCTACTTTAACAAAGGAGCAAGAATATTTCCTAAGTAAAAAGACACGTGCCTTCTAAAGTGCCTGGCAATATTTGAAACTGAGAATAAATTTCCTCTTAAATAGCTGAGGATCTGCCTGCAAACTTTGTCCAAAGTTTCGCTTCCATGCTCACCAAATGCTGTGGACATGATGCAGAAGGTGACTTTCAGTGTAGGTGTCAATGATTTCCCCTTGCTTTTACCCTTAGAGTCTTCTTTTTGCTTCCTCTGACAGGCCAGTGAGCGTGGAGGACAGAACAGTCAATCCTGAGTTGGCAGAGCCTGAATTGATGAGGTTTGGGCCCTGTCTTCAGAAGCCCCAGCCACAGGGTCTCTGTTGCCAGACCAAACAGAAAGGTGTGGCTTATTTTTACTTTCTAGATGAGGTAAATAGCAATATTAATGACTGTTCTGTGCCCATGGGTTCCTTAGATGCATTTCTAAATTATGACTTTTTTTGGAAATTATGAAAAAATAAATATATAGAAATCTTTGGGAAAATAGGAGAAACATTCCAAATTGCACAGATGCAAGCATTGTGATGTATTTCTTCTAGTCCTTTGTTCAAGAGCATAAATGTGTATTTTACACACCTGTGGTCGTAGCATATGATCAAGTTTATATCCTTCCCTTTCTGTTTAACATATTTCCCTGCTGCTCCATGAAATGTATAAGCATCAGTTCGGACATCCACCCAGTGAATGGACATCAAGCAACAGCTGGGTAAACCACCTGGCCAGCTGTGGGGCCAACCCACAGAGCTGCCAGTCCACAGAAGGCCTTTCTGCATACTTGGACCCAGTGCAGTGATGGATTGTGCTTAAGTTTAGAAGTTCAATGCATCTGAGGTCAGGCCCAACTCTAACACCTGGTACCTCACTTGAGACGAGTTCCTACAGCTTTCTGAACACTGGCTTCATCTGTAAACTATAGAAAGTAGTATCTAGTTTGGGGGTTGTTAGAAGCACTGAGGATGTAATTAAGGTACCCCAGCGAGAGCGGATGAATGGCCACCAGTGTTAATGTTGGTCTTCCTCTCATCACACCCCTTCAGTCCTCACCTGTGTGTGTGCCTATCCTGTCTCTGACCTGCTCTGACCTCTTACACGGTGACCTTGGCTTTAAAACCTGCCTTTGGCCCTCCAGACATCCTGATCTCATCCCACAGTGCTCAGTACTCATGGGCTTTTTCCTGTGCTGGGCAACTAGGCTCACAGTCCACCTTCCAGCTTTATTTGCCCACCTCAGCCTCCACCCTGCCACTAGGCAGCCCATTGCCCTTCCTTGAATTTTTAGGTTGATTATAAATAAAACATCTATGAAGATTTTTGTTTGCCTAGATTTCCCCTTTATACTTTTTGTCATTTTCTTAGGTTCATTTTACCTGGGTCAAAAGAAATAACAAATTCTATCATTCTTGATACATATAGTGGGCATGACCATGTTTTAAATTATTTTGCCAACCTAACAGTGAAAATTGGTACCTCATTCTAATTCCTTTGGTTATTTCTGAGTCTGCACATCTTTCCAGAATTTGGTTTCTTGTTTATACAAACTGAAAGCTTAACTTGTAAGAATTTCCAGCAGAATTCATTTCATTTTCTGTATATAGTTTTCTCTGGATCAATGTGTTTGTTTACCTTGGGCATATTTTTACTTTTATATCTGCAAATAGACATATCAACAGATCTTTTCATCACTTCTATTGAAGGGATGAATCAGTTTCTGCCAAGCAGCTTCATAGGCTCATGGAACCTAAGGGTCAAAAGTGAACGTCAAGGTCCTCCATCCAGATCTCCTCTTTACTGAAAGCAAATGCCTTTCCACTGTGCTGGAATTCCTCCAGGCATGGAGAATTCATCTTCCTACCAAAGAGTCCATCCAATTATTGCCTTCACTAAGAAGTTTTTCTGCTTAGCTAAAAATCTACTTGACTGAAACTTTTGAGGCCACTCAAATTCTCTCCTCTGAAGTCACACAGAATGCTTCTGTTCATAACCCTCTGCAGAGTTGAAGGAGGCAATCTTGTTTCTTCTTGGACTAATAAATAGCTCAAATTCCATTCTGCCATTTCCCACCTAGGGAAGGTTGCACGGGAAATAGTGATGACTCTGGGGATTTCTCTGGCAGTCCAGTGGTTAAAACTCTGTGCTGCCAATGCAGAAGATGTGGGTTCAATCCCTGGTCAGGGAACTAAGATCCCACATGCTGTGAAGTGTAGCCAAAAGATTTTTTAAAAAAGAATACCAGAATAAAATGCAGGCATGGTAATCATTGTCAAAATAAAAGTGATGCCCGGAAATCAAAGA